GGATACCTCTGTAAATGAGAGGGTCAGATCTGAAGAGGGGAACCACACCACTTTTGAACCAGGTATACTCTTTGTCCATCTGTGGAATGTGTAAGATATCAGGGTAGAAAATGAGAGGAGCACATACAAGTGGGAGAGAATGTGGTAGGAAAGTGATCCTATTCAGAGAAAGATATCATAACCCAATCCCACAATGAGATAAGTTTGTTGTAACTTGCAAATTCAACAATCTTAAAGAGTTATGAATGATTTTTTAACAGAAGACTGTGTTATAAACCACGGAATAACTTTAACTACGGTCCACCCTACACTATTAAAAATATCTGAGAAAAAATTAAGAACGAATAAGAGCTACAAAATATTTTTCTCATTTTAATATTTGCAAGGGAAAATACTATTTGACTCCCATTTTCTAAACTTTCCTCAAATATTTTTAATATTGCTATTGTGCAGGTAATTAAGATAGAAAATCGCCTTTTAATGTACTGATTTTCTGAAGACAATTGTAAATGTAGACTGTTAGTCACTGTTCCTAGCAAGTAACACTATGAAAAATGACTCACTGTTGAACAAATATATTGTATCATTCTGTTACTAAATACGAATCCATGATGGAATGAAGTCGATCAAATGTGAATTAGTGCCGAAATGGAGAGTGGTGGCTGCCTCTAAAATGTACACTTTGTAACAGAAGAAATCAGGTAGCATAGTGCATATCCGAGTGCAAACAGTACCCATTGAAAATTCATTAATTCCTCAACGTTTCACCTTACGCTTTTGTCAAGAGATAGACACCTTATAAAATACAAACCCAGTCATAACAGAACAAAACAGCTGATGTAATTTAAAATAACAACAATGCGTTTTTATGTATTGTCTAACATGAAATCACGTTATCAACATTGAAAAGGTAACAGTGATAGATGTGTTTGTTTTTTAAGACTCATAACGTAGGTAAACTAATGTGTAGATTTATGCAGGTGTTTTCACTGCATTAAAATACTGTTACGTATCCGTTTGTTAATTAATTTTCCGTAACTTAGTTCCGACGAAACTTTAGTGACACAAGTTCTTTCTTAAATAAAACTGGTTTATTCTTTCTGAATATAACTTTACCGATACACTCAACTTCAACAAACTATAATTCACGTATCACGAGCTAGACTTCAACAATACGTCTCTCTCTCTGACTGCAGTTCAATTACTCATTGTCTACACACACATCGTCCCGTCACGTTGTGAGCGTCTTA